TTTTTTTTTTTTTTTTTTTTTCTCATAGTTAATATTGAGGCGTACATTATCAGCTTATGTGCGTATTATGCGTATTATGCGTTCATTGTAAAAAAAAAATCCTAGTATGACATTGTAAGACACCCATACATGATGTAATGTTAGGGAAAAGTATGTGTCGATCAGAAGAAATAATGAAATAATGACATTATTTTGGGAATGAAATATTACCTACATGTTTAACCTTGTTTAACATTTTTTTACCCTGTTTACCGTGTATACCGTGTTTACCGTGTTTACCCTGTTTAACAGCCATAAGGAAATTAAATCCCGATCCGCTATAAAGATGCAATATATTAGTCATATTGTTATTAATTACGTAAAAAGAAATTTTAGGGTTTCGTAGTACATACCGTATGTTTTAATTTACGATAATTTGTTTTTATGAATTATCCTTATTGGTGTTTGTATTCCCTTGTTTATTTAAGACAAAAAGGAATTGTAATAAATATCAGAATGTTTTTTTTTTTATTTCTAGAAAATTCCTTTATTACAAAGATATGATACATCTTAATTTGTATAAAATGAAATTTGGGGAAAAAATTGTAACATATATAAAGATCGTTTATTGGTTTTTCTTAAAATTATAAACAAACTTTGGAAAATTAAAACATTATGTAAGTTAATATAAATTAAATTAAAAGAAATTAAAAGTTATGCATATTACTGTATGTATTATAATCAGGATCCATCTATTGTGTGATGTTTAGTTTGGTATGATGGAAACATTCAATTTAATGTTAATACTTAATATGTTTAAAATATGTTAGTATATCTATCATGCTATACTATATTTGTTAAAATATGCTATATTTATTAAAATATGTTAGTATATCTATCATATATTTGTTAAAATATGTTAGTATATCTATTATATATTTATTAAAATATGTTAGTATATCTATTATAAATATGTTAGTATATCTATGTTATACTACAGTATATTGTTAATATACGTTAGTATATCTATATACTATATTTGTTAATATATGTTAGTATATCTATCATTTTATACTATATTATAACATGCTAATAATTGTTATATAATGTTATAAATGTTATAAATGTTATAAATGCTATAAATGCTATAAATGCTATGTAATGTTATAAATGCTATGAATGCTATGTAATGTTATAAATGCTATAAATGCTATGTAATGTTATAAATACTAATATAATGTTATAAATACTATATAATTTTAATACAATGTTATAAATGCTATATAATTTTAATACAATGTTATAAATGCTATGCTATATAATTTTATAAATGCTAATACAATGTTATAAATTCTATGCATATATAACTTTTAATGTTGTATAATGTTATTTAAAAAAAGAAAAATACGATTGGATGAGGATTATTAATACGCGTTCATTGTATTCTCAAATTTTCAGGATTCAATAAATTTAATAAATTTCCTTTTTTCGTAAATGACGTAAAAGATTTTTTTAATTACTGCCAAATTCGGTTTCACTAAAACAAATAACCCATTGTTCTGAAAAAAATTTTCAATTACCTGTATTTACCAATTAAACTATTACCTAGTTGTTCAAACTATTCAACCCTGTTTGTAACTTATAAACTTTCTTTATATTAAAGTTGACAACTTAAAAAAAATTTTATGCAATAGTTTTCAATAGTTTCAATAAAATACTTTAAAAATTTTTTTTATTCTTTAAACTTTCGATAAGAATCATTCGACACTTCATTTTTGTAAATGATTTACTATGATACCCTTACCCAGTAATGAACCTGGGTGACATCATTTAAATTACATGCATAATATTCACATATTATTCACAAGCGTATTATTGCCATAATGAAACTTTAAATACAATGATTTGATTGTAAAAGTTACTCTTTTTTATCATTACAATGAATTTTTAAAAAAAGGAAAATAAAAAAAGAATGCAAAGCCGATGAATCGCATTTTTGTGAACGAAGGAAAAAAAAAAAAAAAA